TTAACTTATTGTGCCTATTTATTATTGTCTATGCAACTCACATGTAGATAAATTGTGATGTGCCGTGTAGGCACAATATGAATACTTTATGTGCGGTATCTTTCTTGCATGCCTCCTCCTTCTATTGTTATTTGTTTTCTTTTCCTTTTTCACAATGTTATTTCTGGTTACGTGTTACACAATGTTATTATTTCTATATATTTCCTTCAGATTTCAACTAGGCTTATATTTCTTTTAGATTTCAGCTAGGCTCCTTAAAGAGGTGTATTTTCCTTCCTTTGTTTTCCAGTGTTAAAGAGGTGTATATTCCGTCCTTTGTTTTCCAGGGTACGCTTCATCTAACTCAGACTATAAGCTCTTTTTTACATTTTAGCTACTCTGCTCAGACAAGGTATATGTATATATAGTGGTTCTTTGAAGTTCAAATATATGGTACCATCTACAATTCTAAAATATTTGAGTCTAAGTACATTTCACACTATGAGAATGAGAAGCAATTTCAAGCCCAGGCAATTCCAATAATTACTGGTCCTACACACAAAAAAGAGGTTCAACTCCAATCGATCAGCTATTTAGTCCATTGCATTTGCTTAAAAAAGTTGGGACTCTTATCTACGATTGTCTCCATGTTATTGTTTTTTATTATTGGACCACAAACATTATTTCTATAGTTCTTTTCATACACATCAGTTCATTATGTTAATGAAGGTCAATGTCGTCCTGTCCATATTTTTAGGTTCATCAAGTGCCTATGCAGCACAGGTAAAAAAGATTCAGCACATATTTTCAAGTTCATTCCTATCATATTGTCTCAATTTGGTTAGTTCATGGTTTCATCTGTGATTCGTATTTATTTTGGTGGGTTCAAGTTTGATTTCATACATGTTCAATATTGAGAATAGTGCTTTGCCGTTTGTACAGTTTTGCAGTGCACAGAGTTTTCCTTAGAGAGTCAAGATTCAAAGTTTTGGAGTGAGTTCGTAACAAATCTTTTTGTAGGATTGGCACTGCGGACAGAGTCAAAGGCACTACCTGTTGCCTTGCCACGCTTTGGTCTGGTATATTTTTCCCTACCTACAAATGCTATTCGAATTCGTATATAATCAGCATATCTTTTTAGCTAGCAATAATGCATTCCGTTTAGTACCAAATGTTTAAAACTCACAACTACCGATGGATTGGTTGCAGTTCATTTGAAGATTGGTTGTTCCTTTACAATGGCAAGGCCAATATAGATTAAGCTATTGTCATTACTGCAGGTCCTGGTAGAAACCTTGCTTGGAGATTTTTTTAGATGCTCAGATTATTAGCTCATTTTGTTGTTCCTCCAAATTAACTAAATCTGCAATGAAAAATTGGATCATCAAGCAATTAGCTTCCATCTTCTTGAGAAGCGGTCTATTCCAATTGGACCGTTTCGATGGTTCACTACGGTGTCAACAATGACTATGCACAGCCATGTTGGTTTAAACTATGAATCTATATAAAAAGTTCATAGTTTATATGATCTGATAAACTATTGACATTCTCCCATATGATCTGATAAGTTTCAAAGCGCAATGCACGTATAATTTTGATATTGATTGCTAGACTGCTATATTGCTTAAGTATTGACGAGCGAGATCGTTGTTTGTATTTACCCTTGTTTCATGCTTTTGCAGGCTGATTTGTACGTCCTCTACTATAGTTTATCTAGATGATACTTTGGGTGAGGCGATCGATCGTTGTCGTTGACTACCGCAAAAGGACCTACTTTCTACAACAAATTACAACCAAATTCAGGTTAGATCATGCTCAAACAATAATATTGAATTGTTACAGTCCAGCATCAGCTAGGTCTCACAAAATGATTCAGATTGATCATGAGTATCTTATTTTTTACCTACCTGAAGCAAAATAATACACTCAAATAATGAAGCTTCAGATTTGGCTCCATGCTCTAGTAATATACCTCATTCAGACATACATAAAACAATTTGTTATGTGTGTCACATAATTACACTTCACAACTTATGGCCATGAATTGTTGGCCCTTTCCTGTATGATCTGATATGTTTTAAAGCATAGTACACAAATTATTTCGTTATCAATTATTTGACTGCTACACTGCTTAGGTAATGACAAGCAAGATTGTCGTTTAGATTTGGCCTTGTTTCATTCCTTTGCATGTCGATTTGTACATCCTACTATAGTTTTTCCAAGATAGTAATTTGGGTGAACTGATCCATCATCGTCATTGACTAATGACTAACACAGAAGGACGTGCCAGCTCCAACTAGGTCTCACAAAGTGATTTAAGTTGACCATGACGATCTTATTTTTATAAACCTACCTGGAGTGAAATGGTATGCTCAAATAATGAAGCTTCACATTTTGATCTGTGCTCCGGTAGTATACCTCATTCAGACATAGATCAAGCATTTTGTTATGTGTATCATGCCTGCCATTTTTCACTTTCAAGGCTCTAATCTTATTAACTAGGAAAAGATAATGCATGTACTTCAATTGAACCTTTTAAAGTCTTGGTTCTGGCTCTTGGCATCTCCAATCATTTTTATATGTACAATAATGTTTGTCAGAGGTGTTTGGAGTTAATTAGGAAATAGATAAATTTGCTCAGTTACTAAGTATCAATATGCAATTTTTTACAATAGGACCCAAAGCTTCACATTTATTTTTTTGGTCAGCGTGCTTTGATTTCATAAGCTTTGTAGAGTGACACTAATGAATTAGGACTGAAATAACCATTTCTATGCCAGGTTTCCTATGCTAGCAGATTTTGGTCCAGTAGCTACCGATAACAACTACAAGTGTACCGATGCGTTTTGAATGGTTACATATAGTGTTAAGCTGTGATCTCCTTAAAAAGGCATCGTTTTAGTATGAACTAACCTTCAACAACGGCTCGAGAGGTGGCCTAAAGATGCCTAAAGTTCATGCGTCAGGTGGTTTCTGTTTAGTCGAGTATACTTTGAGGCACCAAATCTCTCAGCTTATATGATCGAGTTAAATAGGTATTGGGCCTTTGCCATTAGAATGTGAAGGCCACCTATCACTCACATTCCCTATGATGATGTATAGCTACAAGTGTTCGTTTTTATTAGAAAAAAAAACAGGTTCTATTCCCCTACGTGTTTAAAGAAAGGCTATGACAAATGGGAACTTGACAATTTTTATACTGATACATATTTGCTACTATATCTTCAGAGGTTTCTTTTAGTGCTCTGGATTCTATAGAATGAGTTTCCATTCATACAGCTAGCCACCTCAATTTACATCTTACAATGTCTATCATCTCTGCTTTCATAAATGTTGGGGCCAAACCTCAATCTAAGAAATTGTCGACGTCTAACTTTTTGACTGAATTTAAATTCAATTACTATGGTCTAGGTGCTGCAATTTCTTTTCATTGGTTTCAGACTTATCTACATAGCCCATTTCAGCAATCCATTGGTGATATACATCGACAGCTGAACAGTTGGAGAAAGAGTATCTGATCTGACGGATCTCGTTTCTGGTTCACATATAATTTGATTGGCAGTTTATTTGTAAGGTATGGCTGCCTGCTTCTTCATATCTATTTCATGATGACTTCCGTACATTCAAGTCTGATTGAATAAATTGGCTTGGCTGCATGTGTCCTCCTGAACACAACCTGTTATTACACACTGAACAAAACCTACATAAACCGGCACAATCTCTCTTGCTCCCTCATTTTTACTTCTTAGATGTTCAGTTATGAATGGCCACAGCACAGTGAGTGAAAAAAGGCACTACTATTAATTGTGCTGCAGGTAGTGACTTGCTTTGCTTAATTTTGCACGCCATTTTTTTTACCAAAATGCGTTACTGTTTATCAATTATTTAAGAAAGCACCAAGAAATACCTGAGTTTGTAGGAAATTGTCCCCTTTATCCGCTATAGCTGCTCAACGACTAGATGTTAAGTGTACAACACTTTATCTTGCCTTCTATTATTTACATCTAGCACTTCTATTTTGCTTCCAAGCCAAATTCTTTTTCTTTTTTTTGCCACACAATACCCTTCTTCTATGGATGAATGCTTCCCGTTTATTTTAACACCCAGAGGCCTATCCATGGCCTATGTCCACTGCATTTGCTACATTTGGTTGACTTAGAACAATTTATGTATCCTCTGCTCATAATACAACTGTTTGATTGTGGTTCCTACAGGTTGATACATATGGTTCCAATTCCAGCTACGCCAAAACCATGCCGTCTACCGCTACTACTGCCAACCTATTTGGCTTACATATCCGATCGTATCTAATTCTACATGTTTTCCTTAGCTCAATTCCATGGAGTGTCTCAGTTTACACGGGCCTCCATGTTCCATTCCAACATTTGCCTTTTTAGTTTTTGCAAGATGACTCAAAATTGGTGCGCGACTTTACATACCTAACTTCTGAGTCTTGTGTGTTTAGTGCTAAAGACAACTATGTAATCCCTATGTACATTGCAACCTGTAGTGAACTTCTGAGTCTTGTGTGTTTAGTACTAAACAGAACTGTGTAATATTCAGTATATGATCCACCATGCTATTTATGTGAACCTTGCTTGTATAATGCTCTGATGCCCTACCATGCTGGTAATAGGCATGCCTTTCGATAATCTATATAAATAGACCAAACCACGTTATCTGGCTGCTTCACGGCACATTCTGCGCCCACACTTATCCCCGAGCGCGTGCATCATATTCTGCACCCACACTTATCCCCGGGTGCGTGAATGCGCGCGCCCTGACACTAGTTATATATAAGGTGCAGAGTATTCTCAGCGTATTGTTGCTTTTATGAATGAAACAAAATAGTTTTTTTTTTATAAAAGGGGCAGAGCTCTGCATTCATTCAAACAAAATACTAATATATACCAGGTCAAGTTTTGTCTTTTTTCTTAACATGCTAATCTAGCAAATCGACTTGTCTTCCACATATACCACACAAACATGGTTCAACTATGTTCAAAGATTTCCCGTTCAGATCAAATTAATCCAGCAGCAGCCTGTGTAATCACCGTCCGTCCTCGATGATTCCAGTCATCGCCGGCGACGGGGTGTGAGGCGCGATAGTCTCCCTCTGCATGCTGAACTCCCCGGCCGGTCGTGTCGCCAGAGTAGTCGCTAGTAACGTAACTGGTGTTCCCACCCCTGCGCTGCCACTCAGTGATGTAGCTTGGCTTGGTCACCACCTCGGTCACCTCGATGTCTCCGGTGAGCATTTTCACGACCCGCGACATCGGTGGCCGCTGGTGAGGCGAACCCTGCGTGCAGAGGAGGGCGACACTGATGACTCTCAGTGCCTCTTCGCTGTCGAATTCTTGGATCCTTGCGTCCAAGATGCCGAGTGCTTGGTCCCTTTCGTACAGCTCCCAGGCCTGCAAATCGTCGAATGCTTCAGCGATCAGTAGGTTTACAAGAAGGAACCGAGGTGTTTTCTTTGGGCTTAAGGATATTTGATCAGCTTACCCACTCAAAGAGATAGATCCTGTCTTCCTCCAAGGAACTGTCAGTGTTTGATCGACCTGCTACAGTCTCCAATGCCACCACCCCGAAGGCAAAAACGTCGGCCTTTTCAGTCAGATGGCCTCTCATGGCATACTCAGGCGCCAGGTATCCACTGGACAACGGATACGGAGATTCAATTAGTCAGATCAGGATTCAGAGCTACATTCACAGCACGGGCAAAGGTGAAATGCACTTACAATGTGCCTGCAATTTTAGTGCTGACATGAGTCTTCTTCTCATCAAAGAGCTTGGCAAGCCCGAAATCGGAGATCTTGGGTGTGAGGTCGGTGTCAAGTAAAACATTGCTGGCCTTGATGTCCCTATGCACGATGCGCACGCTGGACTCCTCATGAAGATAGGTTAGGCCTCTTGCAATACCTAAAATGATCTCACAGCGTGTTGGCCAGTCAAGGCTCAAGCCACTGTCACCTGTACATTCAAAAACAAAATCTTTGAGAAATATTGTTTTTATTATAACTACAAATGCGGTTAAAGGCGTGTAGTGATGGGGATGAGTCAAAGTGAGCACACCAAAGAGTGCTCGATCAAGGCTTCCATTCTCATGATACTCATAGACCAGCAGGGGGGTGTTACTGTCAATGCAACAACCATATAGCTTCACAAGATTGCGGTGTTGCACAGCAGAAATTGTGGCCACTTCTGTTACGAACTGGCTTTTCCCCTGATGAGATGTTTGAGAAAGTTGCTTCACAGCTATTATCCTCCCATCAGGTAGCTTACCCTGCAAAAAGAAAAAGTAATATATATATATGATTGTCCATATATGTTTCTAGAAAGCTGCATTCGTTAGCTGCATTCGTTACCAACTTCTAAAAAAATTTATTAGAAAGCTGCATTTGCAAGAGTAAATTGTGAGGGAGTAACCTTATAAACTGGTCCATACCCGCCTTCTCCAAGAATATTTTGAGAACTGAAGTTATCTGTAGCTAACTTTAGTTCAGCATTACTGAAGACGTTTGGTCTTCCAACCATGTTGTAAAGCTCTGTTTATTTTGTTTCATTCCAATTGAGAAAGAATCAGAATCAGTCAATTGTAAGATTCGATGTCTAAATTACTGTATAAATGTATTTGATACCTTCTTGTTGCTGTGCTATTCTTCTTCGCTTCTGTACCAGCATAAAGATTCCAGCTAAGGCGGCTAGTCCTAAAACAGAAGCACCAATTACTATTCCTGCAATTGCCCCTGCTTTGCTTTTCTTTTTGGGAACACCATTTCGCACAGTAGGAGTAAAATCTGAAAAAAGGACGTTTGATATATTAGCATCCAATAGGATACTTATTTCAAGCTATTATTCATAGATTGGGTTAGACAGTACTTGGTGTCACACTTAATGCTGAGATCATGGGTCCATAGTACCCTTGGGTTGGAATGCAACAAGTGCCCTTGCCTGCCCAGAACAGATGGATCTCAAGGAAGTTTTTGGACACAGTTGCATTGTATTTCTTATACACTGCAACATAAGATTTTCCACCAGCCGTCTTCCTTATGTCAAAGTTCTTTTCTTTCAGACCACCCTGTACAAATGTCAAGTAAGATAACAAAGTCTTTTGTCTAGGAAACATCAAAACTCCTGATCTATGATGCATGGGATATGGCGATATGCACCTGGATGTATATGTCAAAAACTCTCCTTCCAGTGCTTTGCCAGGTGGGTGACTCTGGATAAGCAAACTCTGCAAACTGAAGCTCAACAGTGTAATTTCCATTCTCAAGTCCAATGCCATAGTACCGCAGTGATGATGGTGACATCCTTGCTGTTTGGAACAGTTCTGAATCCAGTGCATTCTGAAACTGCTGGGAACTATATATCATGTAACTTCCATTTGGGGCCTCATTAAATTTTCCTACATTGCTAACACCCCATCTTGTTTGACCAGTAACATAATATGATGCAGCTCCAATATTTGTAGGATCGATTTCATAAAAAGTATTATCTGAGCCCCTCATAGATCTGTTACTTCCACAGTCTACCGCAAAGGAGGAATCTGCAATTAACAAGTATATATATTAACTATATTGCAATCCCTGAGACCGTGTCAACTGCTGAAGATGGTAAAGAGTGAGAAACATACATTCAGGAGAACCACGGAAACAAGGAATATCTTGCTGGAGACAGTTTAGGCCTGAAGGTAGAATGCTGCACATTTGAAGAAAATAAGAAGTTTAACGCTCTCAACTAAAAAAACTCTCAGAAGGCATAACTAAATTTTAAAGTACCTGTTGTTGCTGCTACCAAGAATGAAGTTGTTTGCCACCAAATTCCTTTTTTTTTAAAAAAAATAACAACTTGTCAAACAACAGAGTGATACAACCTTGAGCATATCTAAATTTTTGCCCTTCAAGGAAAAATTTGTACTTTCAACTTACAATTGCAAATTATTCTGGATAGCCCAAGAAGGGAAGCTACCGGAGAGCTGGTTGTAAGAAAAATCTCTGAAAAAATAAAAAAAATTATTACAGATGAAATAAATACACAGTTTCAGTAATTAAAAAATATAAAATTATGTTAGACAACACTGAAATTTCCTGACATACAAATTGTTTAGTGAAGGGCTTTTAACATCAGGCAGGCTTCCAGAAAGGCTATTGTTTCCGAGAAACCTGAATTTGTTAATGTTTGTGACAAGCAAAACATACAAGCATCAGCTTAAGAGTTCAGTTGTATTATGAAGATGATCTCTTAAAAGAATCCCTTACAAGAATCCAAGCTTGTCCAAATTCAGTATGGATTGTGGAATTTGGCCTGTGAGATTGTTAAAGCTCAAGTCCCTGTGCCATGAGACAGAAATATTACTTGAAAAGATGCTCCAATTGAAATTTTGTGAAAGAAAAGCAACAGCAACAGACATTTGTACAATTGCATATAATGAAATACTTACAATAAGGTCAATCCCGCTAGATTAGAAAAATTTGCTGTTGCAAGAGTATCAGATATCCTGCAGTTCCTCAATATCCTGTAGAAAGATAACCAATGTCAGTACCATCTACACTGCCAAGATATGAAACTGTACATTTACAGTGAAAAGTATGTCGCATACAGGACATTCAAAGATGTCAAGTTACTGATAAAGGACAATGAAGAGCTCCCATTTACAATATCACCAATCCGTCTGCACATGAAGATGTCTAACAAATCAGTTTCCACGACAAGATTGACCTTGTCAACTATCAAAGGAACAGGGGCAACAATGAATGAAGTACTTACAAGTCCGTCAATTTGGTTAGATTGGATATACTTTTTGGGATTGGGCCTTCAAAAGAATTTCCTTGGAACCTCCTACAAGTTCATAAATTTGTGTTCCTAATAAGCCGGCTGCTGAAAGATTATTTGTCATTTGAACATAATAAACGTTAAGCATGAAGTATCATGACTTTTTTATCAGCCAGATTGATCTGATTGCATGAAAATGTGTAACATTTCTATTAGGAGTGAAAAGTGAAAAGAATTATTGTGCTTATGAATAAGCAAAGAGCATATGCACAAAGTCCTATTGCACAGTTTCCAGGAAGCCTTGGTTCATAAAAAAATGTACTAAATGATCATGCGAAGCAATTAATAGTAGTCTTACATTACTTCCAACTGAGTCAGGCTCCCGATGAAATCAGGTATTTTTCCTGTGAAATCAATGTCCGATGCCCAGCTGCACGCACAAGAAAATATATTACACTAAGAGTGTGATATTACATCGGACATAACTTGTTGCTGCAGTATTGAGCATACAGGATCCTCAAGTTCTTAAGCTTTGAGAATGTCGAAGGGAATGGACCGCTGAAGCCAGAGCTGTCAATGTATCTGCAAAGACAGTTGACAAAACTTTTAGTTCATTCAGAAGTGAAATTTGGAAATACAAAAGATGCATTTTACATTTGCTCCAGTTTGGTCAAGTTGCCCAGTTCAGAAGGAAGTTCACCAGTAAAATTGTTCATACTAATGCCCCTGAAAGAAAAAGTGAGTAGTTCAGAATGCAATTACGCACATGTATGTGATGCTATGAACAGAAAAGTCATACTTTTTTTTGTTTGATGAACAATCTGAAACATTTGAAACACCAAATACAAGGGGGAAATGATGTTGATGTGCCAATATTTATTATTTCAAGATGTGCTTTATTTCACCTAGTACTAAATATAGTCCAATGTCGAGTAGCCACGCAAGGTTAGCAAGTTTTATGTAGAACTTAGTAGCTAAAGTATACAATAACCAGGGAACTCTCACAATGAGCTAAGATTGGTAAGGTTCCCAAGCTCCTTTGGAAGTGTTCCAGATAGCGGATTCATAGCTAGAGATCTTGCAATGTTTTCAGAAACAAAAATGTGGTTAAGACAAATTAAGTGGTAGCTAATAAATGAGGCACAATCAAATTTTGAAATATAATTCTTACAAGTACTGCATGGGAAATTTCCCAATGAATGATGGGACGGGACCTGTCAAATAATTATGCATCAGGTTCCTGAAACATCATCAAACCAATTAGCCAGATAAAGAATACTAATGGTTACTGATTCTTTGCAGGCAAATAGGACATTATTGTGAATAATTGTTGAGGGTGATTTATTCAGGAAAAAATAAACTTTGAGAATATATATTAGTCAGATGCCATACAGGTTATTGAGATAGGTGAGGTTCTGCAGCTCGGCTGGTATCTGACCGACAACATTCAAGGCATACACTTTCCTGCAGAAGCAAAGAACATGTCAAAACAAGACCTCATCTCATAGGGTGAAATAAAAGGAGTAAAAACTACTCCTTTTGTGCATGCTTTTCTATCCAAACATATGGGAAATATAATCTTGACAGCTTCGAGAGGTAATAATCAAGCCCCGCTCGGGCGTTTCGTCGAGCAGATGGTGATCGAGCTGCGGTGGCCGATCAACGCAACGGCGCTCTGGGAGGGAGAGGATCAGAAGTGAGGAACCTACAGTTTGGTGATGTGGCAAACGGTGGCGTTGTTGTAGGTGCAGTCGCACTTGATGTCCGGGTTGATGTTGGGGTTGTTGTCGACGTCGGTGGTGTCGACGGCGACCCCGCTGCAGGGCTCACCGCTGATGTTCCACGCCGGCGATGCCTTCAGCTCCCATCGCCCCAGGATCGTGTTCAGTGCCACCACTGCACAATTACACGCACACGGAAATATAATACATGTAGCATATGCTTGTGCACAGATGAAAATTTTGCGCCCAAAGAAATTAAAACATATACATGTAAACATGTAGTATCACACTTACACAAGAAATTTGTGTTGAAGATGTGATTTCTCTAAGTACTAGCTTAGCATATGAGGTCTATTTCCGTGTTCGAAACTGGGCCTAGAGGATGATGAACTAAATTCGCATCGCATGTGCTTGTGTGCATGCATGGTACACATACGGCTAGCTACCAATGGACAGTTGCTGCACGTACGTGCGTACGTACCTTCGGCTGGATCAGTTCGTGCTGTTTGCTGGCCTCTCGTCGCTGCCACCCACGAGCACGCGAGCAGCACCCAAAGGAGTCGCCCACCATGGCTGCCGCCGCCGGTGCTGCACCTGCTGGCCGCCATTTCGCTCGCTCGCTCGTTCTCTGAGATGAGAAGCAAATGAATGACCCGGAAACAAATGGTCTTTAAGCTAAGGATCAAAGTATCAGCAATATATCACCATCATGCACACGTGGACACACAGAAGAAACATATGAAGATCCATCGGTAACAGTGCGCGCGTCGTCTCTCGTTGGCATCTTTGGCTCAGTTCAGCTCGTCTATAAGCCACTGGTGCTGATTTGTACAACTAATTTATTAGTAAAGAAAAATATTATATTATAGCTGATAAATCGGCTTATAACAGCCGAACAGAGCCTTTGTTGTCTCCGGCCCACTCAGCAGGTTCATACCACTGTATAGCGATAGCGACGGCAGTGATTTTTTTTTAGTTCTACGTTCCTACCTGCAGTAGTAGCCAGCAGCCACTTTGAATATTGACCAACTGTTAATCCATGCATGCTCCATGTAATTGTTCAGTCTAAACCTTATAGTTCCCCTAGCGCATCGTGGCTACGTACAAAACGGAGTGATACAAAGCTTGCTTCAATTTATGTTGGGTTTCCTGGACCCTGTAGTCTCTGTCTTTTCTTTTTTGGCGACTGTTCCTTAGCACGTCCAGAACCATGATGCACGTAGTACATTACATCAATTAAAGTGACATTTACATATCGTACATTATTAAAGTATTGGTCAACTATTAAAGTGGCAATATAGGCAGTACCTACGTACCACAGGAATATATGGAGTACAAGTCAGTCCTTATACTAAAGAAGAAAAAAGGAGGGGGCCACCACAAGTCAGCAGTGATACACCACTAGGAAATTTCCAACAGAGTGGGACCTCAGTCCCAAAAATAAATCAGTTCTTTTAGAATCACCTAATTAAAGTCAAATTATCTTAAGGTTAACCAACTTTATAAGAAGGGTAATATTGTTTATGGCACCAAATAAGTAAATTATGACAATATATTTTATGATGTATCTAGTTATACTAATTTTGTATTTTTTTATAAATTTAGTCAAACTTAAAACAGTTAGGATTAAGATAACCCTAGAATTTAGTTTATTTTGGACAGACAGTAGTAAGATATATACAAAAATTCCACTGCACATAGACAAATCGCATCAACTGATTTGGCATTTGATTGTTGCCACGATAGCGTCCAGCGATGCAACACATAAAAATCACCAACTTGCTTCGCATGCCTCTCTCGAGGTTGACAAGTATACAAAGTAGTGCATGGCAATTAATCTGTGCAAATTTGAAAACTACCAATTAGAACCACCAGATGCTGATTCAATGGACGAGATGAGGGGGCTTAAGCGCAAAAAAAAGGCTAGCCCCACACCGGGGACATTTATCTAGTGATTTGAACGTTTCGCAACGAAAAAGAATACAGTGGTTGAGACATGCATGGATTTTTTCAACGCCCATTGTCAATGGACTTATGACCTTCTTCGCATGGTATATGTTGGCGGGATCTGAGTTTGGTTGTGGCAGCACCCATGACAGGAGACGTAATAGATCATTGAAACTACAGTCTGACCAGTCGTACTTAGCCTTTAGGATGAGTAGCTCAAGCACAAAACGTATCAATGTCCAATATGTCGGACATGCATTTTCAATACCATACATAGTCTCCTTCGATGCTTTTGTCACCCTTTTCAAAATTTCTAGATCTTTTGGGCTCTTTAGTACAATCTCTGGTCCAAGGACTCGAATCATGTCCTCCAAATCATCTTCATCCCCGACACGTGCTCCATCATCATTATTGGCACCACCTTCGTCGTTACCATTCCAACCACCAGCATCACCACCTTGTTCATTGCCAAACTCGAGATCCATTCGTGCATCAAGCTCTGCTGAATATTGGGACATGGATTCTAGGGTTTTGTCATCGCATTCCTCCTCATCCTCGTCGTTAACAATAACTATTTCACCATGATAAATCCACACTGTGTAGTCCTCAACAGATCCTCGCATAATCAAATGTGATATGATGATAGTCACATCTGTCCATGCTATATGGTTCTTGCAATCTTTACAGGGACAAATAATTGTATCATTATTCTCTATCAACGTCGTTACATGCTTCTTTGCGGTTTCAATAAATTTATCCACCTCTTCACGGAAACTTGCCTTGAACCTTAACGAACCATACATCCAAGAGTTCATGTACTCCATCTTTTACAACAACAACAAAACAAACATTAAAGGACTACTTATTCAGAGATATATATATATATATATAAATGAATCAAATTAATAATTACTTGAGAATAATTGTATATACTTCAGATATATATGAATATAAATCAAATATGATTACATGAAGCATACAAACACACCATAGTAGAGGAAAATTAATTAATGACCCATTTATCCATAAATAATTAAAATACATATTTGTTGATTATAATAAACAATTTTAAAGACAACAATTAGCAACAATTATATTTTACCCAATATCTTTCATGCAAACCCTAGTCCAATTTCATCAAATAAAAATTTATAAAAACAAAATTAATAAAAAGACCAAACCCTAGATCTAGATCTACATACACATGAAACATTCATAAAACTAACTAATTGTTCACTAAAATCAATAAACATAGACCAAATAAAGGTATGATCTTGTTCCCCTACCTAATTTACCCTAATACATTCAAAACTTGGGTCTAATTTACTTCATAAGTAGCTCAAGCACCATAGAAGAGAGAGAAAAACAAAACTCTAATTACTCACTAACTAACCATTA